CCCTACAAGATAATTAGCAAAATCTGCAAACCAGGGAATTTCAGTAACATGTGAATTAGGAGAACCGGTAGAGATAGAAAAAATTTGTTCATCAGGAAACTCCTCATTTATGTCCTTCTCATCCACAATTGTATTTTGTAGCCTTGAAAGGTGGTCAGCCACTAGATTATCTGTCCCCTTCTTGTCCTTGATCTCCAAGTCAAATTCTTGAAGGAGGAGAATCCATCTTAGTAGTCTTGGCTTAGCATCTTTCTTAGCTAAAAGAAACTTCAAAGCTGCATGGTCAGTGTAAACAATGACTTTTGACCCCATTAGATATGATCTAAATTTATCAAAAGCAAATACTACAGTCAAAAGTTATTTTTCAGTTGTGGCATAATTCAATTGAGGACCGGTGAGAGTGCGACTTGCATAATAGATGGCCTGAAAAACCTTGTCCTTTCCTTGACCAAGCATGGCCCCCACTACAGTATCACTCGCATCGCACATCATTTCAAAAGGAAGGCTCATATCCGGTGGTACTACAATAAGGGCGGTCACAAGCTTCTCTTTCAACACTTGAAATGCCTACAAGCACACATCAGAAAACTCAAATTTATTTTCTTTTATGAGGAGATTAGAAAGAGGTTTTGAGATTTTTGAGAAATCTTTGATAAATCTCCTATAGAACCCTGCATGCTCGAGGAAGCTTCTAACAGGTTTAACTGTGATAGGTGGAGGTAAATTCTCGATCACCTCAACCTTTGCCCTAACAACTTCAATCCCCTTGGAGGAGATCTTATGCCCTAGAACGATCCTTCTTGAACCATAAAATGGCACTTTTCCCAGTTAAGTACGAGGTTCGTTTCTTCACACTGCTGCAAAACCAAAGATAAATGATGAAGACAATCTTCAAATGTTAGACCAAACAATATAAAGTCATCCATAAAAATTTCCAAAAATTTTTCGTTCATGTTCGAGAAGATTGCCATCATGCAACGTTGGAATGTTGCTAGTGCATTACAGAGGCCGAGAGGCATTCTTCTGTAAGCAAATGTGTCATAGGGGCATGTGAAGGTTGTTTTCTCTTGGTCCTCGGGGGCAAAAGTGATCTTTTCTTGTGGCATCATTTAATTTTCTATAGTCAATACACACACGCCACCCTGTAACAGTTCTAGTAAGTAGTAATTCATTATTCTCATTTTCACCCACTATTATCCCACCTTTCTTTGGTACTACTTGTACCGGACTAATCCATGTACTATCAGAAATAAGATAGATATAACTGCGTCGAGTAATTTGACCACTTCCTTTTTTACTACCTCCTGTATTGTTGGATTGAGGCGGCTTTGTGGTTGGACCTTGGGCGTGAAATTTTCCTCCATGAGGATCTTATGTGTGCAAATGGATGGGTTGATCCCCTTAATGTCTGCTATGGTCTAACCTATTGCCTTCTTACGTCTTCTTAGAACTTCTAGCAATTTGTCTTCCATTTCACCTGTTAATAAAGAAGAGATAATTACAGGAAATGCCTCTTGTTCTAAATAAGCATATTTGAGATAAGATGGAAGGACTTTGAGTTCTAATTTTAGCTTTTGTTCTTTCATGTCCTCATAATTCTTTGGATTTATTTCCAACAAATTTTCCAAATTTTCAGCTTCCTCTGGACATGTGCTATCCCCATCCATAGCAATGTATCTTTCTAGAGGATCATCCTTAAGTGCTTCCCTTTGGCACTCCTCAACAAGATCATCAAAGATGTCCACCTAAAAACAAGAAGATGATAAAGAGTCAGAAGGATGTTTCATAATTTTATACATGTCAAATTCCATTTTATCATCATTCACTCTCAGAATGAGTTTTCTTGTTGCACATCAATCAAAGCTCTTCCCGTGGCTAGGAAAGGCCATCCCAATATTATAGGCACTTCTCGGTCTTCTTCCATGTCAAGGACAATAAAATCCACGGGGAAAATAAATTTATCCACTTTTACTAATACGTCTTCAATAATTCCCCGTGGTCTCTTTATTGACCGGTCTGCCAATTGTAAGGACACAGTGGTTGCCTTAACTTCTCCTAAACCAAGCTTCCTGAAAATTGAAAGAGGTATAAGATTAATTCTTGCACCTAGATCACATAAAGCTTTATTAGAATATGAATTTCCTAAAGTGCAAGGAATAGTAAAACTCCCTGGATCTTTCAATTTAGGAGGCAACTTATTTTGTAGAATGGCACTGCATTCTTCTGTCAACATGACTGTTCCACGTTCTTCCAACTTTCTTTTGTTGGACAAGGTTTCCTTCAAGAATTTAGCATAGCTGAGCATTTGTAACAAAGCTTCAGGAAAAGGAATGTTAATTTGCATTTTCTTAAAAATTTCTAAAAACTTAGAAAATTGCTTATCTAGCTTATCTTGCTTGAGCCTTTGTGGGTATGGAAGAGGAGGCATGTATTTTTCAGACGTTAAGTCCGAATTCACTGCCCTTTTCCCTTAGCTTTCTTATTCAAATCCAACCTCTCCTCTTGAGTGGTTGTTGTTTCCTACTCTTCATTAATGGTTGAGTCCTCTTGTATGTTGGACCCGGCCACCTTAGTATTTGGCTCATCCAGTTGTTTCCCACTCCTCAATGCTATGGCCTTAACTTGCTCCTTAGGGTTCTTTTCGGTGTTGCTCAGGAGGGAGCCTTGTGTACGTCCTGAAACCAGGTTTGCAAATTGCCCTATTTGAACTTCTAGATTATGAATTAAGGCTTCTTGATTCTGAAATCTTGTTTCAGCCGTGCTTAAGAACTTAGCCATCATATCCTCCAAATTTGATTTCTTCTCTTGAGGTGGGAATCCGGGAGGTCGTTGCTTCACATTATTTTGATTCCAAGCAAAGTTCGGGTGATTTCTCCATCCCGGATTATAGGTGTTGCTATACGAGTTGTTTTGCCTTTGGAAATTTGATACAAAGTGTGCCTACTCATAAAGTGAACTATATGAGACTTGGTTACCTGTTTGGCATTCATGGTTCGGGTGGCTGCCTCCACAAAAATCACATGTAATTGATATTGGGAGTTGTAATCCATCCATCTTCTTATTGAGAGCCTCCATTTGTGCTGCCAAAGATGTGATTGTCTCAACATTATGCAAACCCACAGCCCTCCTTCCAGGGAGTCTTTCGGCAGGCCATTGGTAAGAACTTGTAGCCATTTCATCTAGCAACTCATAGGCTTGTTTAGGTGTTTTTCTCATTATTGTTCCACCTGCAGCTGCATCAATCATATTGCGGATTATGGCAGTAGAACCATTATAAAATGTTTGTACCTGAAGCCATATTGGCAGCCCGTGGTGAGGACACTTTCTCAGTAGATCCTTAAAGCATTCCCATGCCTCATAGAGTGATTCATTCTCTACCTGCAAAAACACATTAATTTCGTTTCGCAATTTTGCAGTTTTCGCAGGTGGAAAGTACGTACCTAGAAATTTTTGTGCCATTTGCTCCCATGTGGTGATGGATCTTGAAGGTAAAGAGATTAACCAACTTTTTGCTTTATCCTTCAATGAGAATGGAAAAAGCCGCAGACGAATAGCATCTTCCGACACTCCATTGTGCTTGAAAGTATCACAAATTTCCAGAAAATTTTCCAAGTGGACATTGGGATCTTCTTGTGATAAGCTTCCAAATTGTACCAAGTGTTGGATCATTTGAATGATGGCCGGCTTGATCTCAAAATTATTTGCTTGAATTGTCGGTCTTCTCAAAATTAAATCACAATAAGTGTAAATTTCTAACTCAATCCTCGACAACGGCGCCAAAAACTTGATGCGATAAAATTAACACTAGCAAGTGCACCAATCGTTCAAGTAATAAAGTCATGAGTAAGATATCGTTTGCCAATGAGGATTGGTAAAATTCACAAATAAAGTGATTAAACTGACTATATTATTCGAGATTGCAAAATTGGGAGAATGTGAATTAAAACTAAATAAAGATTAAAAATTAGATAAATGTAAAGATGCAAGATTTAAGAAAGAATTCAAAGAGAGAAAACGTTAGAGAATTGATTTCACCTACACGGATTCATCTATAAGCTCAAAAGAATGAATTTCAATTATTATTAACCATGAGATGGTAGAATTCCCTAATGTTTAATTATCCATATTTCGGATCTAATCAACTATCACATATATCCTTAACTTTAAATATCCTTATTTCATGTCTAATCTAGATTAATTCAATATGAGATGCCTTAGAATTTGTGAAATCCTTTTTCGGTTAAATTTCTCTCTCAGTTACAACTTAAACTGACCACGTGAATTTTCTTGAATCCCTATTTGGTTACTCCTCGTCCACTCATGGCATGTTCCACATTTTGCTTGACTATTATTCACATCCAAGATTCAATTCACAATATAATGTTTCCTATCACATAACTTCTCTATCCAAAACATCACTATGATCAATTCCCAAATTAAATCAATGAAAAGCTCTAAGAACAATAGAACACACTCTTCACAGAAAAATAATAAATTGCAACTCATTCAAATTGAAATTCAGAAATCATAGGTTTAGATTCATTAATCTCTAACTAAAAGTATTAAACCATAATAAAATTAAATAAAACAAAGACAAATCTAGGAGACATCACCATATGCTTCACGGAAGAAGAAAAGAAGAAAGAATGGTAAATCTCAATGGCTGAACTTTACAAATTTTTCTCCACCAGGAATCAGCCACTCCCAGCAATAATCTCTCTAGGTCAACTCCAAAATTCTGGCTGAATCCTCCTCCAAAAGCTCTGGGCAAATCCTGGCCAAATCCTCTTCCAAAAGCCTTGGGCAAATCCATTTTCTCCTCTTTCTCTCTCTGGAATATCCCAGCAAAAACAACCCGTTTCCCCTGGAATATTCCAGCCAAAAATCTCTTGTTTCCCTTTGGAATTCCAGACCAAAAATCTCTTGTTTCCCTCTAGAATTCCAGACGAAAAAATCCTTCACCAAAAGCCCTGGGTTAATCTCTTTTTTTCCCTCTTTCTCTCTGCGGGAAATCCCAGCAACAACTTTTTTCCCTCTAGAATATCTCCCCAAAAACTCTCTGGAATATCCCAGTAAACACAACACCCCCTGGAATATCCCAGTAAACACCCCTCTCGAATATCCCAGTAAACACAACTCCCCTTTCCCGTTCCTAGAATTCCCTTTTAAACCTGATTCTCTCTACCCCAAATCTCTCTCTCTCTCTTAGCTACACACTCTCTCTCTCTGCCCGGATCTTCCTCTGGTTTCCATCTTCAAACTCTTGGTTAGATAGGGTTTTTTCCATTTTAGTCGCAACTTCTTATCTTCTCCCAGGCAGCCCCCAACTCCAGCGTGCAATCTCAGGAAGCACTCTTTACAAATGAAAGCCCTAAATCCAGCGTGCAATCAGAGGAAGCAAAACCGTGTGGCTAGGAAGAATGAAACACAATGTTGTGTGGCTGGGAATAATGAAACACAATGTCGTAGTTGGAAGAAATGTCTTCCGTGTGGGTTTGTATGGGCTGAAATTTGGGCCTTTTAATTGTGGCTTCTCAATGGACCGAGAATGGCCTTTTAATTTTGGCTTCTCAATTGTGGGCTTTTATGGCGGATTATCAAACTTGCTTTCTTCTTGCAGAGTTAGATTAAAAAGATATCAATTTGCTAATAAAATACCTTAAAACTAGTTAATATTAAACTTGCAAGAGCTTAATAAATCGGTATAAAACCAACTCATCAGCTTACTTTTCAACACTCTCTCCACTAATGTACATCAACACACTATCAAGGATCAATATGACTTTTTAGGCTTAAAATATAGGCTAGAGTGAAGGTAGTATATGAGGTAATATTTTGGCTCAAATCACATTTTAAACACATCAACAATTCTAGGACCCAAGAAGAGCTAAAATAGCACACCCAAGTAACACCCCCAAACTTGATTTTTACTTACTTTGCCAACCATTTTTTTATTTTTTTTTTTTAACAAATCCCCTCTGTCCCCAAACTTAAAATCTACATTGTTCTTAATGTAGCAAAAAGAGCAAATAGGGTAAAGGAAACTCTCTTCTCTGTTTTTTTTTTTTCATTTTTTTTCTTTTCATATTCATCATAACAAATAAGTTTTCACAACAACATGCTTCCTCCCATAAACTAACACAGCTCAATGTGTCCTAGAATGATTAACATGCTTATAGGTGAGGGGTAGAAAGTTGGAAATTTATTAACTAGGCTAGGCTAAAGATGTGGGTAATAAAGAAAAGGGTATAATTAGGCACAACGGGGTATACAAGGGATTCAAATTATAAAGGTTGGCTTGTAAGGCTCAGACGGCCCAAATATGGCCTAAATCATGTCCTCGATAAATGATTAATCTAGGATTTCGCCTCAAGAGTGTATCAAGCAAGTTCTAGAATTTGTGAGAACTAAGTATAGAACACATGTACAAAATCTGTCTCCAAACATTCAAGATATCAATGACACAAAGCTGAGTGCTCAAATGAAGAAAAATCACAAATATTGAAGAAGACAATCATTAAGAAGTTAAGGACAAAACTTGATGGAAATCATCATTTTCTAAAAGCTATGCTTAATCAAATCACATTCATCAAGGGTTCAAGAGAATTCACCCCAAAAACACACCAAACATCAAGAAAACACAAGACTCTAAATTGTTTTTTTTTTTAAATGCAAAAACAAAAAAGAATATATACAAAGACAACCAAAGTTCTCCCCCCAAACTTATCAAGCACAATATCCTCAATGTGTAGGCAATCAAGAACACAAGGAAAGGTTTAAGAAACTCCCCTATGTCAATTTGGCACTTAGGCTTCAATGCTTGCTCGCTCTCTTGAATTGAATCCGTTCCTGAAGCTTCGGCGCTTGCACCTACAAAAGAGAAACACTAAAACAAAGTAAAAAGTTATAAAAAATAAAAACTAACACTTGAAAGGAAGGAAAACAAGACAAGGTTTAGAAAATTTGGGTTGCCTCCCACGGAGCGCTTGCTTTAACGTCTTTAACCGGAAGTTTAGAGAGGCGTTCATTAAAGAGTGGCCACCCATAGTAAGTGTCATACACCACTACAAATAGATCTTTGATTGTGATGCCCTTAAGCTTGGCATGATTTTTGCAGTTTAGGCACGTTGCACCAACAAGATTTGGCTTCGGAAGGTGACGGGCTTGATTGGAGAACTTCATTTTTGGTTCGGGCTCAATGTAGTATGGTGGCGGTGATAATGATGGCCAAAATGGGTCGGATGGCGGTGTGCATGTTAGAACGATTGACGAGCTCAAGTCAATGATTTCTTGTGTTCTTTCATCCTCCTTCGATGACTCTTGCGCCTCAAATTTCCTTATAGGTCCTTGTGCTGTTGTTTTGGAACCTAACCAAGCTAACTGCTCCATAGGTTCATCTTCACCCTCGTCAAAATCTAATGACGAGGATAGCTGCAACAAGTCCGTATGGCTACTACTCTCAAGCTCTTTAGCCACCAAAGAGTTAATGACTGATATTGCAGAACATTCCTCCACCTCAGTTGGAAACTCCATTGCCTTAAATACATTAAATGTCACATGCTCATCCTGCACTCGCATGGTTAGCTCACTTTTTTGCACATCAATTAGGGTGCAGCCTGTAGCAAGAAAGGCCTTCCCAAAATGATTGGCACTTCTCTATCCACTTCATAGTCAAGAATGATGAAGTTAGCAGGAAAAATGAACTTGTCCACCTTTACTAGTACATCCTCAATCTTTCCTTCAGGAAATGCAATAGATCTGCCTGCGAGCTGTAAAGACACTGTGGTAGGTCATGCTTCTCTGATTCCCAACTTCTTGAAAATGGACATTGGCATCAAATTAATGCTTGCTCCTAAGTCACATAAAGCCTTACCAAAATATTGGTTTCCAATTGAACACGGGATAGTGAAACTTCCCGGATCCTTCAGCTTGGGAGGGAGCTTATTTTGCAATATGGTGCTTCATTCCTCTGTCAAAGCCACCCACGTTTTGAATTCTAAAAACTGGCATTTTTTAGTGACCAAGTCTTTCAAGAACTTAGCATAATTTGACATCTGTTCTAAGGCTTCTACTAGTGGTATATTTATGTGGAGCTGCTTAAAAACGTCCAAAAATTTATGAAACTGTCCCTCTTGTTGCTGTCATTGAAAACACTGAGGAAATGGTGGAGGTGGTCTGCTGTTATTAGTTTCTGCCGCTCTAGAATGCTGCGAGAATGTTGTTGCTTTCTGCATATCAGAATATGGTTGTTGATTCCTTAACTGTTCTTCTTGTGGCTGAGTTCGATTCTCCTCCTCTTGGATTGAAGTAGGCTCTGTTTGAACAGCCTAGGGTCTTGTCCTTGGCTTTAGCTTTTTTCCACTCCTTAGTGAAATAGCCTTGCAGTCCCTTCTCTTCGTGGATCCTCAGTGTTGCTTGGGAGAGAACCTTGAGGTCGATTGTTCAAAGAATTAGCAATTTGCCCCATCTGGTTTTCTAAGTTCCTCAGTGCTGCATCATGACTCTGAATTTTTGCTGCACTCCTAGCTATAAATTCTTTTAGCAAACTCTCCAAAGAGTTAGATTGATCTGCAGCTTGAGTTCTTTATTGTTGATGTGGATACCCTGGTGGATATGTGGGTCTGTGATAAGCATTATCCCCACTAGAACTTGCTCCTTGGTTACTCCATGCCAAGTTTGGATGTTGCCTCAACCCTTGATTGTGAGGATTCGAATAAGGATTGTTGTTCCTGTTGAAGTTGGCCACATAACATACATAAGCTGGATTGGAAGGGCAATCTTCATAAAAGTGACCCTCTCCACAGTAAACACAAGAGACTCCAGCAGTTCGTACAGAATTTACACATGCTGGCATGTTCATTGCTTTTAACATATTCATCAAGGATGACACTTGAGCTGAGAGTGCAGTGATGGCATCAAGTTCATGAATTCCGGCTGCCTTCCTAGCATTGAGTCTCTCGGTTGGCTATTGATAATTGTTATTGGCCATCCTCTCCAAAATCTCTTAAGCTTCGTTGTAAGCTTGGTCAAAATAGCTCGACCAGCTGCGGCATCAACTATAGTCCTTGTTTGCCCATTGAGGCTATTATAAAAGGTCTCCATTTGAATCCAATGAGGGATCCCGTGATGAGGGCATTTCCGCAATAGCTCTTTCAATCTTTCCCATGCTTCATACAGAGATTCCCCATCCGCTTGTTGGAATGAGGTAATGTCATTTCTGAGCTTGGCTTTCTTGGTTAGAGGGAAGTATTTCATGAGGAATTTCTCTGCCAAATCATTCCATGTCGCCACTGAATCCGGTGGCAAAGAATTCATCCATGCTCTAGCTCTATCCCTCAAGGAATAATGGAATAATTTCAGCCTTAAAGCTTCTTCTGTCACCCCCGGTAGCTTGAAGGTGTCACTCACTTCTATAAACAATCTAAGATGAAGATGAGGATCTTCTGTTGGCATCCCACTAAACTTTCTCACGGTTTGGAGCATTTGGAACATCATTGGCTTAAGCTCAAACTGAGGCGCCTGAATCTCTGGCCTCACTATTCTGAGGTTAAGTCCATGTAGCATGGGCACATCCTACTCTCTGGTGGCCCTATCCCTGTCATCTACCATTGCTGGTTGGGGAACAAGATTGTTGGCATTCACTTGTTGCCAATTGTTTTCCACATTTGCGGCTACTCCCTCTGCCATACCTTCGACAACAACAAAGCCTTGATGCTCTTTTCCCCTAGCTAAGAATGTCCATTCAATCTCTGCATCCAAGGGTAGCAACTCACGGTCTCGCTGGTAATTCATGCAAAGAATTCCAAAAGCCTGAAAGTGACTGCAAGTCAAGAGAAAGAGAATAAAGTAAACAAAAAAAAATCACTTCTACAAATACTTTCAATGATTTCAAACCCCGACAACGGTGCCAAAAACTTGCCGTGTGATTTTTATGTTCGCAAGTGCATGTGTCGCAGACAAGTAATAAAGTGTACATAGTATAGATATCGTTACATAGAGAATGAATCACCAAGTATACATGCAGAAATCAATTAGTTTACCCGTTAAGAATGATAAAAAATTGACTATTCAGAAATTATCCAGTTGTTTTAAATGCAGAAATGTAAAATAAAATATAAAAAAAGATTAACTATAAGATCAAGAATGCTAAAATGGAGTGTATGCAGTGAAGTAAATCAACTAGACCTACTAATTTCCCCTTAGTTGCAAATCTGACAGAGAATGCTGCATGGATGCTATAGCATAAATATCCTGTTAACAGAAACTCATTTATTGTGCATAAGATTCTTCTGAAGTCTTTATGTCTACAGATTCTTCAACCATTTCCAGCATATTTCTATGTGAATCTAATTTTAAAATGCAAATTAAGCTCATATTTCTTTATGTTATGCAAGATGAATAATATATTCTTATACCATTCACAAATCAATAAACTCAAATAAGATTATTGAACTTGCATCATCTATATTAAATCCAACTAAAATTAACCTTTTCAATATTAATATTAATCTTGTATTCAATGATTAATGGCCAGTCAAAGACAAAAATAAGCATTAAGCATACATAGATGAACAAGAAATAGAATTAATCAACATTCTTTAAGCAACCATCATCCTTACAACCTCGGTTCTATTAGCAGATCTAACTTAATAATTTAGTTCATAAAGGTAATTGTAAAAATCAAATTTTCAGAATAATCCATGTCTTAATTAATAACAAAAATAACAAAAGAATCAAGCTAATAGAAAGAAGAAGAATTGAAGAGCTGAATCTTGGATCTTCTAGAATTTCTCTTTGTCCTTCCCTTCGGATCCTCCTTTCTGCAGCTCTCTCTCTTGAATTTTTCTTCCTTTTCTCACGTCTCTGGTACTTGGTTTTTCTTTCGATACTGTACTGCCTGATTTCCTTCTATATTTGCTCTTCTTCTAGAAAGCACTTCCTTCTTAGGGCAATAGAATGACTGAGGTGTCAATTGATAAGGGTTGAAGTGGTCCCCACTACTGTACAACTCAATTAGCTCACATGGGTTTTTTATCATTTTCTCCAGGTAGTGCGTTGATGTCATATCACTTGCCAACTGCACTCAGAATGCTGCAGCAAAATGCTACTGCTTTCTCCCTACAATTTGCAAAATCACAACTTAAAGCATATTTCAACATCTTTTTAATTCAAATCACTCCTTAATCCGAAAGCCAGAATTTAGCAAGATAAAATGCAAAACTAGAAAATTTAAGTTAAAACACAGAAGAAACAATAAAATACACTCTTAGCTAAACAAACTTTAAGCTGAAAATACATAAGATAACTCTAATTTCTTAAGAGTTATCAGTTACTTTTCTGCACAAAAGTAGGTAACAACAACAAAAACAAGAGTACCTATATATTCTCAGACGATTAAGGAGTCAAGCAGAAAGATCTCCACCTCTTAGCTGTTGAATTGCGTTATACAACTTCCGCCGAGGCCCAACAGCGAAGACTCCCATCTCTTTGAGATCTTCAAGTGTAAGTAGCAACAAAGCTTCTTCATCAACCTCATGCATTTCAAAAGCATCAGCATACTTACCGAACCCCATCTCCTCCAGCCAAGTCCGAACGCAATTCGTGTCACCTCCTTCAGATTTTATCTCATCCCATACACCACCACATTTAGTTGCTTCATTCTCTTCAAAACACGTATCTTCATTCCAGTAATCACCGAAGTCACCTTTTCGATGCAGATCATGATTGGATCCATAGGCATCACATTCGTAAGCCTCCTTGCTTGTGGCCGGCGTTTCACAATCAGACATACCCTTGAAACCATCACAATTGTAGTATTCATCACACATGTTGAATTTGTACCCCTCAAACTCCTTTTCCCGTCTTGCTCGCTAAACTCTGGACTACGTGTAGAACCCCAAGCACTTCCAAAGACACCATTGTACCCTCTCCTACTCTGCCCCCGCCGCTTCATTACCCTACATTTTCGGGTTATGTTACCGAAATCTAACGTGGATTTCACCATACCAGTTCGATCTAACCTCATGAATTCGACAGCCCTCAAAGAGTTCGGGTTCTTGTTCTCTCTGTTCTGTTGAGAGTCAGCCGAATTTCGCGGAGAGACTCCGGGGTCCGAAATTGTCAACTCAGAGTCCTTCTCAGAAAACCCACAAATCAGATTTTGCCCTCTCTCACTAGGGTTCCCAAAATCATTCTTCCACCTCTTGTGCCCTAATTTTTCCTTAGTAGTAGTAACCTGAGAAAACCCACATGCAAATGCTGCAGAAGTATCTCCTATTTCCCCTAACCTAACATTTGGACGTCTCTGCCTCTTTGTATTCATGCTTAGTATCAACATTATACACAAACCCTAAAATTCAAAAACCTGAACATAACCCCAAAATCCAAAACCAATAATTACAACCCAGAATCACCAAAATCACAAATTAACACCAGAAATTGAAAACATAACGAAAACTCAGATACAAAAACCATCCAAAGTAACTATAAAGCTTAATAAAGTATATATGATGCTTAGCTCTAAAAAAAAAAAAAAAAAAAAAAAAAATGGAAGAACAAGAAACTCATAAGCACAAAAAATTCCTACTAGAAACAAGAGTTATATCTCAATCATCAGAAAGAAATAGAAAGAAAAAGAAAAGAAACGAACCTGTTCCAGGGGCAAAAGTTCCATCAGAGTTTTAACTCTTTAGCATATCATGTGACTGAAAATCAAAATGGGCGTTTTTTTTTCTTTGGCACATCAAAATATTCAAACCAACAGGAAATGAAAATGGTTAGCTAATTTGGTTTGATGTTCGTCCGTTTCCTTTTGAAGGAAATCAATCAAACGAGCGGAAGAAAACACTTTGAGACTTTTTTCCTTCTTGCTATTTGTCTGTGACTACGAGAACAAGCATTTCGGAATATTGGACCAAGATTATGACAACCTTAAAAATGGGTTGGGGAGTTCATTATAAATATGGAAAGTTTTGGACTCAACTTGAAAAGATCGTGTGTATTTGGAGGAAATGGTCTAGACGACAAGTGCTGCTGATGAAACTGATCTATAAAATTTTGATGATATCAATTTATAAATGGTTAGTGCAGCATCCGGTTGTACGTAGACATGGATGCAGAAGATAGATAGTTCTCGGAGATAGTGGGCTCAAGTTCTTAGAAGTTTCTTTACTTTTCTTGTTAATAAAGAAAAAAAAAATTGGAAAAGGAACTAGGAAAGAAGATTCACGAACAAATTTCATTAAAAGAATATTAAATATTAAAAGAAAAGTAACATTTGGATATGCTCAAAACTCAAATCCATGCTGGAAATCCAGCCAGATTCACTTCTACTAACCAATAGGTTATAGGCAAATACGTACTCTCCTCATTAGGCAAATCAGGGGAAACTGAAGTAGCAACCTGTTTGGTGTCTTTAGTAATAAAATATAAAATATCTAAAAATCATGTCAAAGGTTGTTAAAAGAAGTATTTAAATTTTTAAATTTTATTCAACAAAAAAAATATATATTTAAATTGATCAATGCTTATCCACACAACATGCTATTTCAGTTCACTTTTTCATAATTTTTTGGGATTTCTGTTTTGTTTTGTTTTGACCATAACTAACTGTTTACTCGCGTATTGTAACGGATAAAAGTTATTAATCATACAAAAAGTTAATAATTTTTACAATGTATTTGAACTTTTGCTCTTGCTTGTTCTTTGCGTTTTTTAGCTGCAAGATGCAAATTTTGAATGAATTAGTACCAACGATTTGAAAAGGTAAAAATGTTTTGCGTATATGTAATGTAAATTAAGATATTTAGAAATAGTCATATTACTTCTTTTTTGGACCTTTTTAGGTTGCTTCCTTTGATTGAGAACTAAAGCGATAAAAAGGTTGTTTAGATATATATTTAAAATCATGAATATTGTTTTTTATTGATAAATAATATAAATTAAAAAATGTATCTTACCTTATGCTTAATTTTTTTGGATCTGGGGTTTGTGAATCTATCAATGTTGCAGTTGATGTTTGTGGTCGTGGTATTAGACTTTAGATATCTGTTGTCTTTGAGTAAGGACTAAAATGATAAAATATTGTTTAAACACGTATTTAAAATAATAAATATTCTTTTTATATATAATTGATATAAATCAGTGGATTTATTTTACCTTTTTGCTGACTTTCTTGGGTCCGATGTAGGTGTTTTGTTTCATAAGTGGTTACCTTCATAAACTGTTGAAAAAATACTTAGATATTGTTTGACTAACATTACTGTAAAAACTGCTACAATCGGTCCTCTCATTGATTTCTAAATATTTTCATCAAATTGATCTACTTTGTGTCCCCATAAGGTGACCTGAAGTTGTTCAATCCTCCTAGAAAGACAAAATGGAAAAAGGGAATTATAATAGGAAATTTTGGATAATGTAAAAGTTTTGTACTCTTATTAAGTATAAACTTTTTCACATGATTAGGATAAAATGTATGTGGAGTTTATTTACCTTATGTTTTATACCATTATAGTGCAACGTGATGTTGATCTATTGTTGACGCTTGTCTGTTCAATTGTTTGCACCCTTGTTATGACTCTAATAACATCTATTGGTAGATCAATAGAAAATGTTAAGAACGTAGATTAATAAATTAACAGTGTTTTTTTTTTCTTTAAATAAGTGATTCATATTACCTGTTAAAACTTTGACTGTTGGTATTCTTTGTTGAAGCTGGTTAAACTCAGTAAAGTAAATCTATGAAAGGGAATGTGGGATGCTTCTGCGATGATTGGGACCAAGGATGTTGCACTTGTGAATTGAAGCATTGCAATATGAGGCACAATTTTATATGTTGGCTTGTTTTGAGCTACAAAGAAATTGCTAATGTCATATATATTGCCTAGTTGAATTTTTTGCGAGATAGTTTTTGAGTCATGCGCTCGAATTGATCCTTGGATGCTTCATGCTGCGAATGAAAAAGATAAAATTGTTATTCATTTTATAGTATTTGATATTAGATCAATTATAGTATAATATAGTGTTTATAAAAGTTATCACCTCCTCATCAACTAAAAGGCAGTCAAGGCTTGTTAAGCGCCCTGTAGTAAAGTCATTGTTTGTCCATAATCAGCAAATTCTTACTCAGATAGTTCCATATGGTTTTAGTGCACGAATTGTTGTTGCCATTTTTCCTGATTGTCAAGAATTAAAAAGCAATTTTTTAGTACATAAATGAGTAATTTTATTGGATGTGTTTTTAATTTTTTGGTAATAGAGTATTTCAATGGTGTAAAATTAGCAATGTAAAAAAATGATTGTTTAGTATATGAGTCAATAACTTTATTAGTTATGTTTTTAATTTATTGGTAATAGGGCATTTCAATGATGTAAAATTAGTAATATAAAATGTTGGATATATCTTTAGATCATTGGCAGTGGAGTGCTTTAATGGTATAAAGAAAGTAATATTATGTGTATTTCAAATGACATTTTCTATTATTATACGACACTGTACAAAGTTTGTCGATAATATTTTTTAAATGGTTTGGATATATTTCTAGGTTATTGGCAATGGAGTGTGTTAAAAGTATAAAGGTAGTAATATTATATGCATTTTTAGGTAGCGTTTTATATTTTTATATGACATTTTGCAAAATTTCTTTGTAGACAATATTTTTTACATAGTTTGGATATTTATTAATCGAATCATGAATTAGTATGTGCAATCCCTTTGGGTTGTGGTTCTGGATAAAGTAACATATAATTGTCCATGAGTGAAAATTTCACTTTCTAAATATAATCCAATTTTATTTAAGGATTGTCCTTGACTTTTATTTATTGTCATTGCATAACAGATTTATGTAAATGGCCATTTAGATTCATGTATAGTTATTTTTATTCTTGGAATATATACTTTTTCATCAGTATTATTTGAAGTTATGATTTGTCCTTTTATAATTTTATTTGTTAATTGTGTAATAATAAGTCTTGTTCCATTGCATAGTCCAATTGATTGATTTAGAATTCTTAATAACATAATAAGAGTTCCTACTTTAAGGTTTAGTTCGTGTGGTGGTATTCCATAAAAATTTAAGGTATGTAAAAATTCTTAGGGATATAAGAGACTAAGTTCATATGTGTTTTCAGATGAAGATACAATTGTGTCATAACTATAATAAGATTTTGACTCTCCAGGTACTAAAGATAATATGTAATTATTAATGTCATCGGCTGTTTTATTTCTTGGAGTTATTATAACTCGTTGTTTTAAGTATTCAATGTTGTCGAAATAATTCTTGAAATTATTATATATTAATGTCGAGATTTTTTCAATTGGATTTGATTGATAATGCAATATGTATTTTTGTGGTATTTTTATCCATGTGGCATCTTTATTTTCTAAATCTTCTATTCACTCAGCAGTACCGTTTCCAACATTAATATCCAGTTTGAAAATTGTGTAATTTCCTTTTTTTCTTCTTCTGTAGCATTATGATGTTTCAATCTCATATTTTATGTTAGTGTTAAAATTTGAAAATATGACCATAAGTGAGAATTATTTATTCTTGCATCTATTATGTGTTCTTTTGCACATGTGGGGATAATTGGTAAAATCTGTCAAAAATCACCTCCTAGAACAACTGTCATTCCACCAAATGGTCGTTCAAAGTTATTTTTTAAATCTTGAAGTGTCTTGTCTAATGCTTTAAAACAATATTTATTTATCATAAGTGCCTCATCCCATAGTATGAGTGATGTTTGTTCGATCAATTTTGCTAATTGAGTCCCTTTCTTAATGTGACAGGTGGAAAATTTATCTATTGATAGAGGTATTCAAAATCTAGAATGTGTGGTTCTTCTTTTAGGTCACAATAATGTTGTTATTCCGGAGGATGCAACGACACGGATTATTTCATTATTTGATCTAATCTTTGCAATTATTGCATTCCATAGTATGTTTTTCCAGTTCCACCATGGTTGTGGATGAAAAAAAGTTTGTCTTTGCCTCGATTTAGTGATTATAAAATCCGTTGGTAAATAAATTGTTGTTCATTGTTTAAACTATGCACTAATTTAGTGTTTTCATCCTTTAATTCATTTACATTATAATTTAGTTCTTCTCTTAAAAGTTTATTATTTACATAATCTATTAGTGAGCCAGTAGGAAAAGGTAAATTAAATTGTGTCAAAGTTGATGAATTCATATTTAATAATTTTTCTAGTTCATTTAAAAAAATTGTATAATTCAATTTCAGGTATCTGAAAATTTGGGTTATTAAATAAGGCCTTAATTTTATGTAAGATATCATCTGTCATAAGTTTCTAATGTTTTTCAAGTAATTTTGTTGGATTATTTACATTACAAAGTAATAAAATTATGTCAAATAGTTGTCGTAATTGCGTTGTTGTTGACCAAAATGAGGCTTCTAATATTAATTCATCTCATTCTCTGTCATCTCCTAGTAAGCCTAGTGTATAGCATGCTGCTTGGTTGGTCGGATATGTTATATTATTAATTGTCCGGACACATTCGTAACTTGTTGTTCCTTTTTGATGATTCAATAATAATTTTAGATAGTGTAATTTTCCAGTGATTGGATGGACATAAAAAGTATGTCCAATTGTATGTCATGTTTGTCTAGGAGGCCAATATTTATATTTGTTGTTCCAAACATATTTAGTTGGGAACTCTGTATAAATTAACTCTCTAGTGTTGATGTCATGTTTGTTTGTTTCCATCCATTCAATGAGAGTTGTGTTATCAATGTTTGGTTGTCTTATTATGTTACTAAGGCGTTGATTAGAGTGAAATATTGTGTTTTGCATTTTTGATAAATGCATTGATAGCCTTTGAACAGCAAGAATTCTGTGATGTATTGGAAATTCATATAGCCGCCATATTGTCTCGTATGGTGTTATATATCTGTAATTAATATAATTTTTTGTTTCATCTATTTCTTCATAAGTAGTTGCTCTACATCTTTCTGTACACATGTTATCTTATATAACTACTCTT